ACACGCCAGTACCTATGACATTGTGACGTGGTGGGGAAAACACACACTACGGTGTCAGGTAAAACTGGGCTGAATCCCAGCTCCACCCATAGCTCCGTGACCCTGGGTAAGTTTCTTAACCTCTCTGTGTTTGAGTTTCCTCATCTGCATGACAGGATAATCCCAGCTTCACTGGGTTGTTGACGCCCTTCAAGACTGTAGTTTGTGACCCCTGACCCGTCCCAACCCTCTAGTTTTACAGGCCAATAAAATAGCTGTTCAGAGAGGAGCAGCAACTTGTCCAAGGTCACTCATCGGGTCTGTGGTGAGACTGAGGCTGGAACGAAAGCCCTGTTCAGCGGGCCTGCCGGCCCAGCAGCCCTGCCCCGCTGACCCCGAGGGGGCGCTGACCTCGGGCAGGAGGGAGCAGTGTGTTGCGGGCTATTTCCAGCTCCAGGCTGGGGTGGGGGCTGCAGGGTCGGGGCAGGCAGCAAAGGCTGGGGGCGGAGGGGCCTGGGCTGCAGGCAGCAAATGCCGGCCCGGGGAGGGGGTGTGTGCATTCTCAGCTGGCGCTGAAGACTGATAGGCACGCCACATGAGGACCCTGGAATCCCAGCTCTGTGTGGCCACGGGCTGGGCCCTGGCCAGGCCCGCGGTGAGCTCAGCTTGGCATTCAAGGTCTTTGCAGCCAGCCCCAAACCTGCCCTTGTAACCCTGGAATCTGCTGACGGACAACCTATGGTGTGTGTGCTGGTGGCCCGAAGCCACACGCCAGGGGCTGGAGGAGCTAGTGAGGGAGGGAGTGTGGCCTGCACCTCAGGTGGCTGCCCAACAGCTCTGGGCAACAGCTGTGCGGGATCCCCGCAAACGAAACCCAAAACTAGCCCAGCTCTAATCCCTGCTCTCCTCCTCCAACTTTTCCTAAAAGACCTCTGTGCCCACAGCCCTGGGGCCCACCCCATCCCTCACTCCCTCTGCTGCCACCATCGACGCACATGCTAGAAAGTGCCAGCCCCGCTCAAGGCGTTGCTGCTGGGATTCACACGACTTCCTTCATTGAATCCCTCACAACTTGGCGAGGAGGTTGTCATTCTCCCCGATGCAGAAATGAGGACACGGGGCATGGTGATGTCAAGTCACTAATCAGAATCCACAAAGACAGGAGTGGCAGAGCTGGAAAAGCCCCCAAGCCTAGGCCCAGAGCCTACGCCCCTAGTCACACCAATGCCCTCCACATCCACCCACCAAAAGTGTCCTGAGTGCCTTTTGTAAAGTGCCAGCCTCGTGGGATGGGTGGTCACAGCCCTGATGTGACACTGTTCACCTGTGGCCAGCCTCTGCTGGCTGTGACAGCCCAGGCCAGATCAGCCAGGTGCCACCCTCTGCTGCCACTATCTACACCCCTGCCTGGCGTGGGCCTGACCTCAGCCCAAGGGATTGGGGGTGGGATTGCACCTCTGATCCTCTCTTTTCCCATCTGGCAAATGGGAATGGGCCTCTCCAGGGCTCTCTAAAGGGTCTGATGGGGTGTGAAAGGGCTTTGCACACTGTAGAAAACTCTACCATGCAAGAGGTCATTGCAGCTACTGGAGGGGGTAACAGAGCAAAGGTCAGGAGAGAGGAGCTAGGGTCAGAGAAGGCTCCAACCTGCAGGAGTGAGTTTGCCAAGCAAAGATAGACAGGTGGGCAAGGGGCAGCCCAGACAGAAGGCTTTGCAAATAAAACACAGAGCAAACTCCCCCTGACACGGTCCCTCCATTGCCCAGCCTGGTGGATTTGGAAAAGCACAAAAAAACAGGTCACCAAGGTATGTAGGGACAGGGCTGGAACGCAGATCGGGGCAGGTCAGGGGAGCCTCGAATACCACTGCCTGATGAGAGGGGCTGCGATCCCACGCTGGGCCAGACTGCTTGGGACAGGCTGGATGCTGGCACTGCTGAGCCTCCTGTACAGGGAGGAGGGCGCCACTGTTCCAGTAAGTAACTGGTGGAACCCGCACACGAACTCAGTTCTTTGCACTTAATCCCACCATCGCTACACTTAATTCTAGGCAGAGTTGGCCTTATGGCCAGTTGCACAGGGCTCTAAGCTTAGAAGGACCCTAAGGATTAAGGGTTTCACCATCTTGAAATCCTTAATAATTTGTAAACGGGCTCTGCATTTTCACTCTGCTCTGGGCCCCACAAATTACATAGCTGGTCCTGATTCTAGGAGGTTCTGATGGGCACTGTTGGGTGTGGGCGTGAAGGTCCATGAATGAACTTGACTACTCTGGACTTGCTGGCGCTGGGCCCTCTGCTTAGTCTTCCTTTTGCCTCCACGTCAACCTAACAAATTTCTCTTCTTCTCCAAGTGCAGCTTAACTGTCGCCTCCCAGGGATCCTTCCCAGATTTCCTCCCATAGGTTCCACGGACCCTACGCCCATGCCAGGCAGAACCCCAGCTCCCTGCACTGTGGTCCCACACCCCAACCCTTTAGCAGGATAAAGAGCCTCCCAGTGGGTGTGCACAAGTGCCCACCTCCCCCGAGACTGGGGCTCCTCCAGGCCTCCTGGGCACCCCAGAGCTTCCTGCTGGCCAACTTTCCAAAGACAAGCCTAAGGGTGCTTTGCAAAGGAGTCTTGCAGAGGAATTTACTAGATCATGCCAGATGGCAAGCCCCAGACAACAATCCACCTTTTTATTTGCAAGAAAATGGCAAATATTCCTGGGAATACTAGACCAGGACTAAAGCTCAGATAATCCCAGGAGCCTCCTTGGGAACCCCATCCAATTTGGGAAGGAGGGAGGGGAAGGAAGAGGAAGTCTTGAATCTGGGGCTGCAATATGGTTAATAAACACCCAATTCTGGCTCTGCCACTTCCTGGCTGAGTGGCCCACCCTCACTGAGGCTTGGTTTCCCCATCTGCAAAGTAGGTATTAATGACCTGTCCCTGAAGGGAGATCACTGGGGAAAAGAGCATTAACACAGTAAACTCTGGCATCTGACAGCCTGGAGCTGAAGCCTAGCTCCAACACTTATGAACACATGTCCTTGAGAACCTTATTTACCCTCACTGTGCCTCAGTTTCCCCACCTGGTAATTGTTCAGTAAGGTTTCCTTCTGGGGGGATTTAGAGAGCTCACGTAGGCCATGTGCCAGTCCCCTGGCAGGGAGTCTGACGTAGTTGGTGTACCAAAGCTGGGTGCCACCAATTCCCAGCTTCCTAGGAGTCAACAGGGAAAGTACAGATGAGGGATGGGACAGAGATGACACAGACCCCACCACCTTGGAGAAGGCAGACATGCTCATCTGTGGTGCCCATGATTCAGAGGGCGCCCAGGCCGCAGGAAGCCAGGATAGAGTCCCCAGGGCATGAGGAACAGGGACAGGAATGCCCCTAGTACGCCCACTCCACCCACAACCCGCTTTCTTCTCATGAGAATAACAGCTCCAGTTGTTGAAGGCCTGCAGAGTGCCAGAAGCTGTTCTCAACAATCTACGTGGATGGTCTCATGACCACCCCACAGGAGGCAGACAGTGACTGTTCCTGTTTCCAGATGAGGAAGCCGAGGCCCAGAAAGGGCAAGGACTTGTCTGTGGTCAGTCACTGGCTGGCCCTCAAGCCCTGACAGTCGCCCTCCCCAGTATACAACACGCAGAGCTCCCAGTGCCCCCAGAAGCTGCCGGAAGCTTTTGGAGGTGGAAGCCATGGACCCCCAAACTGCTCCTTCTCCTCAGAACACATCTCTCCTTGTATGTGCATGCGTGTGCAGCCTCGTGTGTACATGTGAATACTGTATGTGTGTAGTGCAAACATGCAGATTTATGAATGTGAGCACGTGCATGCATGCAAGTGTATCTGTGTGCACACATGTGGCATGCAGAAGTGATGTCTGTGTACGTATGTATGTGAGGGAGCATGAATTTGCACGTCTGTGTATGTATCTGTGCGCACACAACCGTTCATGCAAGTGAGTACACACACATCCTGCCAGGCTCTGCCACCCCGCCCCACTGCTTCTGTCTCCCCACACTGTAACTTACTTTGGGGTCACCTCCCCAGAATTTTCCCCTCTAACCTCTGAACCCTCTCCACCCCACTGTTACAGGGCTGCCACATCTCTTGGGATCTCTCTGCTTCTCCACAGAGCACAGAATGGGACAGGCCCCTGCACTGTGCACCTGATGATGTAGGGCCTGACATACAGTAGGTGCTTAATATGAGCCTGGGAAAATGAGCTGGGGGCGGGGGGCTGATGGGAAGAAAGACTTATCTAGTCATTACACTCCTCACCTAGAGGGGGGCCCTGGCTGCCATCTCAAAGGGACCCCGAAGGCCAGGCCTGATTCAGGCCATATCACACCACAAATCAGTTATGACTCCAGAGCAACCAGGAGCCCCCGTCGCCTTGTAAAAGTCCCCCTGCCTTTGCCTTGACTTGGGACAGGATCCAGCACTTCTGAGGACATGGATGATGCTGGAATCACCACCTCCTGCCCCTGATCGCCAAGCCAGAGGCGGAGCAGTCCAGGGGTCAGGGGCCCCGCCAGGTGTGTGCCCAGGGTGAGTTATTCTCCACCACGAGCTCAGGGTCTCACCTGTACAGTGGTGGTGAGCACAGCAATGACCTCATAGGTTGCTGTGAAGATGAAAGAGTAGCTGCTATATTTTGCACAGTACCTGGAATGCAGTTAAGTGCTCATAATGTCAGAGGATATTAGTATTATTATCATTTCCATGTACTAGATTAGAAAGCTGAGGCCCTCAGCAGCGGAGGGAGAGGGCCACCCAAGGCTGCACTGGGAGTGGGAGTTGGTGACAGAATAAAACCAAATGTCAAGTCCCAGGCCAGAGCACCCCGCTGCCCTCCACGGTGTGGCTTCCTCCCAGAGGAGAAGGCCCAGGAACAAGTGAAAGTGAGACATAATCCCCACCCCCTCCCCGGCTCTCCAGGCCCCTAAGCCAGCACCACCCAACCTGGGTGGCCTGTGTCCCCCTGTCCCGCATCGGTACCAGTGGGGCCCGCCCATCGCTTACCTGCCAAGGCCTCTGCCAACCGACCAGGACTGGAGGCTGCTCAGAGAGTCAGGAGAAGGAGGCGGTGGCCCCAGCAGCCCTGCTATATGGGAGCAAAGCCACTGAGTCCTGCGGGAGAGAGGACAGGGGACAGTTAGCTCCAAGCCCTGCCCCTGCGGGCAGCCCCCCACCGCCTTCTCCACCTCCAGGTCCCACCTGTGCAGGCCCCTCAGGCCACCTCCTGGAAGGCCAAGCTGGCCCACCAACGTGGGGCTACCCTAGAAACTGGAGGCTGCCCTCTCCACCCCTATCAAGGGCAAGCTCCTGACCTTCACTTTCGAGATCGCGAAACCAGCCCCCGCAGCCCCGCGGCCACCACAGCAGCAGAAGCCACGCGAGCACGCCCACCACTGGGCTCCAGACAGCCCGGCCTCCCAGGCCCCTCGCCACCCACCTTGGCACACGCCAGTGCCCTGCTCGGAGCTCTCTGTCCCATTTCTCTGCCTTTCAAAGCCCCACTGGCCTTTGAGACTCTGCTCAAACTGCTTGTGCGGAGCCCTCTCTGACCCGCCCCGCCTTGCGCTGTTCATTCCCGAAGCCGCCCGAACCTGACGGCCCACGCCTCCTCCAGCTTTCTTTCTACAGGCCGCGCCCTCTCTGGGCAGAGCCCCTGGACTCCAGGAGTGAGGTCTGGCTTATCTGTCTGTCCTCTGAGCTCGTTAGCCAGGGCAGCAGACACTGCTTGACAGATGAATGAATGAATGATGAACGGTGCAATGAAGGTGTGCAGTGAACACACCGAACAAAACGGACCAACTGTCTTGAAGTCAGGAGGCCCGCTGAGATCTCCACGGCCTCCCCACATCCCCCCTCCGCTAGATTCTAGAATACAGGGGGCGGGTTGGTGGGAGCAAAGAGACGGGGAGAGGTTGATACTTTTCTCTGACATTTTACAAATGAGGAAACTGAGGCCCTGACAGGGGAAGGGTTCCTCCTGTGGCCAGAGGCCAGGCTGGAAGGAGAGCCCAAGTATCCAGGCCTGCCTGCTGCCCAAAGCTCTCAGGGCGGAGGCTGCGTCTGCAGACCGTCAGGGGCAAGGCCAGCCGGTCAAGGCAACGTCTGGGCAGGGAAGAGAAGGCAAGGGGAGGCCCCTGGGGTGGACAAAGTCCAGCAGGAAAACCCACACTCAGAACAGAGCCACCGGGCCACTGGCCCTACCTTTCCCAGCCTGGAGGCCCAAGACTTGAGGCAGCCAGAGGGGACATTGCAGGGAGCCCCTTCTCATGTCCACTGCTGCCCAGGTCAGAGACACCCCTCCAGCCTCCCAGACACTGCTGGTGGGGCACACACTAGCCCCCGCACCCCACTTTGGAGCACAGCCTGGAGGCATCTCCTGCCCTGCAGCCTGCGCCGTGACCAGCGGCTCCAGCACACAGAAGTTTGCGCGTGCGCGTGCGCACTAGAAGACGGTGCCGCAGTGCTCACGGCGGTGCTCCTCCTAGCAGCCCCAGCAGGAAAACTCCCCCAGTGGCTACAGAGGGTAAGCTGGTGTATTGAGAATGAGTGATCTGCTGCGATATCCACAACGTGCCTAAATCCTGCAAACACAATGCTGACCCACAAAGCTAGACACAATGGAGAACACACGTAAGAGATCCATTTATGCTAATAGAAAGGTCACGAGTAGGCAAAACCACTCCATGCTTAGAGCAAATGCAGGCTCAGACTCTCTGTAGCTCCTCCCATTAGGAGGCGGAGTCTCTCTCCCCCCTGACTCTGGGCCGGCCTTGAGACCCACTTTGACCAACAGGACCCGGTGAAAGTGACATTTTGTGAGTTATACAGACCAGGCCTCAAGAGGTCCCGCCATTCCTGGCCGTGGCTCTGCTGTTATACCGTGGGCCACGGAAGGGGACGGTCTATCCTACCAGAGGACAGAGGAGAACTGCCCAGTCCACAGCCAGCACCGATTGCCAATGTGACGGAGGCCACCTAGACCCTCCCGTCCAGCCAACCTCCAGGTGACTGCAGCCTCGTGAGCATGAGGAAACCAGGCGGGGTGCCCAGCCAAAGCAAAACTGTGAGAGTTAATACACGTGGCTGTTTGAAGCCACTAGGTTTTCGGGTGGTTTGCTGGGCAACAGCAGCCGACAGCTGCTGGAGGTCAGCAGAGTCATTTTCCTTGAGGGGCCAGTGACTGCAAGGCACATGGGGGAGTCCAGGGGGTCTGGAATGTTCTGTTTCTTGATCTGCATGTGGCTATATACAAGCATGTTCACATCGAGACAATCTGTCGAGCTACACATGTAGGATACGCACACTTTTCTGCATGGATGTAACACTTCAACAGAAGCTAAAAACAAATAAATCCTTCTGTGGCTCTCCACCCAGGCAATAACAGCTCCAGCCTCACCCTGGCCCTCCGCCTCTCTGGCCCATCCCCTGCCCTGCAGGCCCCACCTCACTCCTCTACGCACCCCCGCAGGCTGCCTAGCACCTCTGCACCTGGGGTGCCCTGCCCCATCCTACCACACGCAAGCCTGTGGCCAGGTGGCATCTCCTCCTGGAAGCCCTCCCTGACCTCCCCAGGCCTTGCCCTGGTGTCCAGATTTGCACAGCTCTCTCTGGAGCTAGGTCTTCCTGAGGGTGGAGTGAGTCTTTCTCTTCTGCCGCCCCAGCTTTCAGAGCTCTCCAAGCAGAGGCCCTGTCAGGGTTGGGTGGCACCCCTCTTCCCCTTCCCACAGAGGAAGACCCTCTCTGTCCTACTGCGACGACCAAAACAGGCTTCAGGGGATAGAGTCACAGGGGACTGGCGATCACAGGTCACATGCCAGCACCAGAGAGGGCAATCTCCTCCAGGGGCCCAGCCTTCTCTTGCGGAGACCAAGGGTGGGGCTGAATTTGGGGGTGCAGAGAGAGGCTGCAGAGTAGGGGGACTTACAGGGTTTCCTATTTCACAGTAGATGGTGTCACCCGTAAAATGTGTACCACTCCTCCCCTCTTAATTATCTATTAAAATAAAACTGCCAAACCCACGGCAGTGGTACAATGCTACACCCTCTGCCGAAAACCCCGCAAACTGGCAGGAAGATGAAAGGAGGGATGGCCACACCACAGGGGCACTGGCTCCGCCAACACCCTTCAGTGCACTCGCTGCCTCCACCAAGCGGGAGGCAGGAGCCCTCGGGTGGGCGACTGGGGCGGGGTCTCTGCTGACCCCCAAAGCCAGGCCCTTGGCCCTGGGCCTCTTTCGCCCACCTTCGCAGTTCCAGCCCTGTCCTAAGTGGGCGTGGGGCCTTTGGGGAGCTCCCGCAGGCCTCAGTCCCCACCTACTGCCATCTAGGGGATCCGGCTTGTTCAACCACCTCTCCGAGCCAGTTTTCTCTCCTGCGGGAGGACAGAGTCCCCGATAGGCCCCGCGTCTCTTTCTGCCTTCCTCAGGGTCCGCACTGTGCAGCGGCCGTGCCTGCAGGTAGCAGGCTGACGCGGCCACCGCAGTCCACTACAGGGAGGCCACAGCATCCTGTCACCTGCCCACCTCCACCTTCCCTCTAAGAAGGGAAGCTCCTCACCCAACAGGGAGGCACAGACAAGCCAGACAGTGGCCAGGCTGGGACAGGGAAGAACATCAGGTCCCAGGAGACATGGTCTGTCCCGCAGTAGAGACAACTCCACGCACACAAGGGCGCCGGGTAGGTCGCAATCCAACTTCAGAAGGAACTCTGGAATAGGCGTGCCTTCCACAGGTGGGTCTGCTGCCCCACGAGGTGGCGAGGATCCTGTCCTCAGAGCCATGCACGCGGAGGGGAGCGGCCACGGGGTGCTGTGGGCGCCGTGAGCCCCAGAACAGAGTGGAACTCTGTGTTTCCCACACTCCTCTGATAAGAGTCACCTGGGCTGACTGTTAAACCCTCAGCTTCCCAGGCCTCTCCCCTGAGATTGGAAGTCTGTGGGTCTGGAATGCAGCCCAGAAATTTAAATTTT